TAGTTGAGGTAGTAGTAGTGCTAGTGACAGGACCACTAGTTGAGACAGTAGACAGACGATAGTTAACGTAACTGAACAGTAAAGGGGCATCTTGACATTGATAACTTACGAGCCATCGAAACTGATCACTTGTCGCAACTCATTGAGTAAAGCCTTCCTACAGGCTTCGATGCCCAACACATTGAGGATCTCCACGATGTCATTGGAGGAGGTAAGGGTACTGTCTACTGCCTCCATGGTCAACACCTACGAGTAAGGGTCGCAGGTTCGATCCCGGCACCATGCATTATTTACCTGCTCTAAATTGCATCCATCAGTATCCAAAACCCACTCCCTGCTACGAGCCTACAAACAACAGCCATCCAGCCCCGACCTCAGACGTATAAAAGTGCCTACGAATGTGCCCACATCACTGCCGTATTGAACCCTATTGTCTTGTCTCATGTAGCACTTAGTGACACCGGGTATACCTTACCAACAGCAGCAGTGTAGACAACGACAAGGGAAGTGAGCCATGGCTAATGTTAAGTAGAATGGAGCCGGACATGGCTAACGTTAAGTAGAATGAAGCCAGGCATGTGATACATCAGCTAGAATGGAGCCGGACATGGTTCATGTTAGTTAGAATGGAGCCGGACATGGTTCATGTTAGTTAGACTGTAACTCGCACTCACTGTTATGGGGACAACTAGGGCACAGAAGAGCTGTTCAGCGGGGTAGATACCGACTATGGAAGGCCGATCACTTTAAAGTAACAGTACTCTAATGGTAATTCGCCGATACCAACTATGGAAGGCCGATCACTTTAAAGTAACAGTACTCTAACGGTAATTCGCCGACACCGACTATGGAAGGCCGATCACTTTAAAGTAACAGTACTCTAATGGTAATTCGCCGATACCGACTATGGAAGGCCGATCACTTTAAAGTAACAGTACTCTAATGGTAATTCGCCGATACCGACTATGGAAGGCCGATCACTTTAAAGTAACAGTACTCCAATGGTAATTCGCCGATACCAACTATGGAAGGCCGATCACTTTAAAGTAACAGTACTCTAATGGTAATTCGCCGATACCGACTGTGGAAGGCCGATCACTTTAAAGTAACAGTACTCTAATGGTAATTCGCCGATACCGAGGAGGAGGTTAGGGAACGTCGTCCTATCAGCAACGCAGAAGTCATCCGAACACTGGCCAGATGAAGAGGATGTAGTAGTGCTAGTCACAGGACCACTAGTTGAGACAGTAGTAGTGCTAATCACAGGACCACTAGTTGAGGTAATAGCAGTGCTAGTCACAGGACCACTAGTTGAGGCAGTAGTAGTGCTAGTCACAGGACCACTAGTTGAAACCGTAGTAGTGACCTGTGAAGCGAGCAATCTGCCCAGTAGCCTTTTCGGTAACATATAGAATATTCGAGTGTTGATCAAAGGTGACTCCAGTATACTTCTTGGAAGGATCCGCCTGAGCTATTATACGATAAGCACTGTTGTTCTTCGGGTAAAAAAACACCAACGTCACCCTCGCTGATGCCAAACACGAACATATCGTTGCCCGAAGCCTCGATATCAGAAATAGTCTTCTCGGCAACAGGTAGCCATTGGTTGCATTGGATTCTCCAAAGCATACGGATACCATCATTACTAGAGTAACCAGCTAGGTACCATGCACCATAGTCTGAAACTGAAGGACTCGGTAGTTATTTGGCCCGCCGGGAGGAGGTTAGGGAACGTCGTCCTATCAGCAACGCAGAAGTCACTCGAACACTGGCCAGATGAAGAGGATGTAGTAGTGCTAGTCACAGGACCACTAGTTGAGGTAGTAGTAGTGCTAGTCACAGGACCACTAGCTGAGGCAGTACTAGTGCTAGTCACAGGACCACTAGTTGAGACAGTAGTAGTGCTAGTGACAGGACCACTAGTTGAGACAGTAGTAGTGCTAGTCACAGGACCGCTAGTTGAGGCAACAGTAGTAGTGCTAGTCACAGGACCACTAGTTGAAACAGTAGTAGTGCTAGTCACAGGATCACTAGTTGAGGCAGTAGTAGTGCTAGTCACAGGACCACTAGTTGAAACAGTAGTAGCGCTAGTCACAGGACCACTAGTTGAAACCGTAGTAGTGCTAGTCACAGGACCACTAGTTGAGACAGTAGTAGTGCTAGTCACAGAACCACTAGTTGAGACAGTAGTAGTGCTAGCCACAGGACCACTAGTTGAGGCCGTAGTAGCGCTAGTCACAGGACCACTAGTTGAAACAGTAGTAGTGCTAGTCACAGAACCACTAGTTGAAGCAGTATTAGTGCTAGTCACAGGACCACTACTTGAGGCAACAGTAGTGCTAGTCACAGAACCACTAGTTGAAGCAGTAGTAGTGCTAGTCACAGGACCACTGGTTGAGGCAGTAGTCATATCCTCATCATCCTCATATAGCATCAATATCCTCATCTGCTTACCACCGCCCTTCATCACCGATTTCATTCCTCCACTATCGCATATCACCTTGCATATCACAGACATCTGGAAATGAACTCCACGTAGAAGGCGAAACTCGAGTCGAGTCGAATTTGAGTAGAAAACCATCAACAAAAACCATCAAGATTTCCTCACAATTTTCATATTATCACCAACACAGATATTTTCCCACACTATGCAAGCTCTTCAATTCACTCACCGATGCGATGATGATGATGCCTCTGAGGCCACAGGAGCCCCCATAAGAAGCGTGTCAAAGTCCACCGGCCAGAAATATCATCAAAGGCTCTAGTGCGAGCGATGTCTTATGCATTACATATATTGGAGTTTCACCCGTTTTACGTTAAGTGGCGTAGCACTGTGTGAAAGCCCCAATATTCGCGGTAGTCGTGAAATATATTTTGTTCGCTAGTGTTTTTTTTCACATCTCTAGGGGGGTGAAACTCCAATGATGAATCCATCCAAATTTCCCTCGGTTAACCTACTTTAGTCGCCGATAGTTTCGCACCGAGATTCTCACTCATCTTCTCGTAAATATGCCCTAACGCTGCTACGATCTGCAATGTGAAAAATCATACGATGCATAACTCCAGTGTTCTGAGCTCAATTATTTCCTCATTACATACAAGTTCGGAAATTTTTATATTGTCACCAACACATGTAGTTGTATATTCTCACACACTACAAAACTTACTTGCGCGGGACCATCTGTGCCAGTAGTCTCAGTAGGGGCCTTCAACAGAGCACCAACAACAGCGCCTGAACCTGAAGGGAAAATCGTCCCTCCTCAGTGCAGTGTTGGAATATATGTTCGCCTTCCTTGAGAATTCCCTCACTAATTATACAAAATTCACATATGAATCCGGGTAAAAATGCACAAGAATCAACAATAATTTCCCAAAATTCCCTCATAATTTTCACATTGTCACCAATATATGTAATTGACCATGTGCATATTTTCCCAGAGAATATAGGTTCGGTTTCCTCAACTGAGCTTGTTAATTCACTCACTACATTAAGCCCACACACGAAGTGTACAAGAGAACTAACTATAATTTCTCATATTTTTCATATTTCTCACATTTTTTATGTTCATATATTTCCACACAGAGAGAAAATAGTAATCTCACCGGGAGCATTTCTTGAATGCATTTTATGATCAAACACCGAATCCTAGTGGGGACACCCTCGTTAGCGTCAGTTAGCATCCTCAACATTCTCGGCAACAAGACGTGTTGCAGAGTAGTATACTCGAATCGTCGTTGTAGTAGAGGCAAACGAGTAAACACCTAAAATGGTTTATAAGTATACATAATGATATTTTTTTATACTCCAATCAAGGAATGGCCAGCATAGGAATATAATTGCGAACTCGATGGGCCTGGCCCAAGTGATAATCCTGCAGCCATCAGTATCCAAAACCCACTCCCTGCTACGAGCCTACAAACAACGGCCATGCAGCCCCGATCTCAGCCGTATACAAGTGCCTACGAATGTGCCCACATCATTGCCGTATTGAACCTTATTGTCTTGTTTCATGTAGCACTTAGTGACACCGGGTATACCTTACCAACAGCAGCAGTGTAGACAACGACAAGGGAAGTGATTACTATGTACCCTTTTAGAGTAAGGTCCGAGAGTAGAGAGCCTTCCACCCTTTTGAACAGACGAAATTCCTCTCCCCCATCATAATCTGCCACCACACCTCATACTCCTACAAAGTGCCCAACTTGCAACTTACCCTTCATCTCAGGAGACCCGTCCTCCGCGGTCTATTGTAAACACGATCGTTGTACAGTAGCAGTGATAGTGACAGTACCTCAGTATCGCGGAGTAGCCTGATACGTACTATCAGGGGATCATCATCAAACTGGTGTACATATACATAGATAGATAATCCTACCACGCGAAGTGGGGATCATCATCGAATTGATGTACATATACATAGATAATCCTACCACGCGAAGTGAGGATCATCATCGAATTGATGTACATATATAGATAATCCTACCACGCGAAGTGGGGATCATCATCGGATTGATGTACATATATAGATAATCCTACCACGCGAAGTGGGGATCATCATCGAATTGATGTACATATATATAGATAATCCTACCACGCGAAGTGGGGATCATCATCGAATTGATGTACATATATAGATAATCCTACCACGCGAAGTGGGGATCATCATCGAATTGATGTACATATATAGATAATCCTACCACGCGAAGTGGGGATCATCATCGAATTGATGTACATATATAGATAATCCTACCACGCGAAGTGGGGATCATCATCAAACTGGTGTATATATACATAGATAATCCTACCACGCGAAGTGGGGATCATCATCAAACTGGTGTATATATACATAGATAATCCTACCACGCGAAGTGGGGATCATCATCAAACTGGTGACTCAGGAGTTTCGTCCCAACCTTGCTCCACTTCCGGTTTCATTCAAATTCGATTCTTGAGATGGAGTTCTGCGTTTTCAGTCTCTCCCAAGGTGGATCTACAGTAACCATGCATGCGCGATTCATGTAACTGGACAGTTTAAGAGATATATGCGATGCTTCGCGTTGACCATACCAGCTGTAGACGAGGTACATGAAAAGTGAGAAAATAAAATTGAATTCTCGTAAATTGTTTGTCGAACTACCAATGCGTACGGACGTAAACTATTTGCCAAAAAGCAGTTTCGTGCTCGAAAAACAGTTCTCATTCGCATAATCTCATTGCTAAAAACGGTTCCGTGTTTGTGAAGCAGGTGTTAGTTGCATAAACTAATCAGTTCAAAACAGTTTATATTTGAAAAACAGTTCTTACATGCACAAATTTGTTGTTAAGGAACTGTTTTGAGCTCATGAAACAGTTTTCGACTCGAGTATCGGGCTTCACTCAAGCCATAGATCTCGATTCTCAGACCCAACTCTACCCTAAAATAGTGACAAATATGGCAGTACCACTTATCTGACATGAGTAAAAGAAATGGTATAATGAATTGAACAATGGGACACTTCCTGTCATTGGTTCGACTAGAACGTTAGAATGAATCTCCGAGTGATTCTAGCAAGACTAATTCTTGCTATCTTACGTCATATCAACATGTATGCACAAATCGTGCGCACTTGAGTCTCCTCATTGTGCTACAAGCGGGCAACAACAACATTGAATCACATTGCTCGCATCATCCTCCCGCTCCTTGAATGGAGGATTCAAGA